TCCCTCCAGCGTGTCAACCATGCCATACAGAAATAATGATGTGCTCTATTTTTTTGTCTGATCTTTTCTTAGTAATTCCTAATATTTGATCTGATTTTCTGAACAGTACTGATAATTTGATCTCACATTTTCATGGGACTGCTTACAGGCATCACTCCTAACTCATAATGGCCAGCTCAGCACCAAAGATTTCAAATGTGAATTTGGGTGTCTGGGGTTCATTTGAATTTGCCATTTTATTGTTCAACCAACTCAGTCTTGCAAGTCATGTTCTACAAGTCTTCACACTTGGTCCTTACTCAAATAACTTTGTAGGATGAGTAAATTTTGCCTTCTCATTGCACACCCATTTTTCTTGAGCTACACAGGTCCTAGCAAAAACCCTTTTGAAAAATCACATGAATTCTCCTGAGTGCAAGAGCTAACCATTTACTCCAACTCCTGAATTTTAGATTATTATTTATCCCTTCAAAACTTGTTCTTTTCACATCATGGCAACGCAACTTTCTCTAGCGGGACATTTTATGAAATGTCTTTAAGGAATTCAGACAGGCCCTGTTGGCCAAACACTTATCCATGCACTTACTGATCCCCTTAAAAGAATTCCATTTGGTTCGTGAGGCATGCCTTCACTTTGCACATGAAATGTCAGAAATAACATTTTCAAACTGCTCCATTTCTTTAGCAGAAGTGATTTGTACTCATTTAAACACACAGTGCATTTTATTCTTACATGTTTTTTTCTTTTTTAAGTACTAGTGAAATTTTACCTTGCAACATACTAAGTGTAATTTCTTGAAAGAAATATTAATTGCGTAGCTGTTCAAATAAATACATGCCAAAATGCATGTAATTTCTCAACAATCTAATTTTTTTCTACGTGGCATACTGGATATGCTATAGTAGGAATGAAAGGGAATTCAGTATTTCTTTGTATTTCCCAGCATATTTAGAGAGACCCATACCTCTATAAGAATAGCTTTATTAACTTACCATTGACTTTTGAGATTTCCCAATTCTTTTTTGTATTCATATTATCCACAAGAGAAAAAGTAAATGTTGAATAAAACAACTGTTCATCAGCATCGGTAGCTTCAATAAAAAATCTCTCTCCTCCACTGACTGGGTGGCAGAAGAAAGGAGGATGATTCATAGATAACTGTGGAGGGTTGTCATTCACATCTTTTAAGTGCAGTACCAAGGTTGTTTGGGATTTCTGAGATGGATTATCTGTAGAGTTTAACAGAATGCAAAGTTACACGCTCATCTTGGGCTTACATGCTGGATTGTTGCATTTGCACCTGCTGTAGAGGTACATGATCAAGCAAGCACTGGGAGGTGGCATTCTGCCTGTAGGTTGCAGAGGCAAGGTCTCAAGATGTCCTGAGGGAGTCAGGGTAGCTGCCACCACTTTTTTAAAAGTATGATTCATTTAACCCCCAACTCTTGCTAACGACAGAATACTGGCGAGTGAAAGGAGGCAGATAGACCATCATACCTAGTAAGTGATGGCATCCATCCTATCTGGTCAGCAATCACATCCAAGGTGACCAGTGCTCTTTGGAGCACTCTTTTAGGCATGCAACTCCTTAAGTTTCCCATCTCTCTTCTATATACAGGAAATGCAAGTCAATAATCTGCCTTAGGGCCAAGACAAGGGGCCCCAAAAGAGCTTTCTGACCCCTGTCATTTCTCCAGCCTGCTCCTGCAGAAACAGCTCCATGCTTGTCTTGGTGCTCAACAAAGCACTCCTTTTTTTTGGCATACATACTGCATCTCTACCCTTATCACCCTAAACAGTGACCAGCATTATTGTTTATCTGTGTTTAATAAGGAAAATCTAGATTTATGTCTCATTCAATCAGATATAGTCCAGAGTTTTTAACTCCTATTCAGTGTAAATCACATAATGAAATCTCTCCAAGTTACTCTCCAGGTATTTTTTCAAGAAGCTTAAGTATACCTACAAGAAAGACTAAAATCTTACATAGCTGTTGAGGAAAAAAGTGGCAGAAAATGCTGATGCTGAAAGCACTGAAGAAATTCTAACCTACTATACATGCCATGTGTCTCAAGCAAATATAAAGATATATGATAGTCAACTTCATGAAAGCTATTTTAATCCTCATTACCTACAACATCAAGATCTCATGTAAGGAAGTTAAATCATTAAGGAACATATACTTCTAAAGATACACCACCAGTTCCTGTACTTTTCAGGGCTGAGTCACGGGAAGGATGACCCTTCCTCATAAAGCAGTAAGGGCAGGGAATTCCTCTGTATGCTTATGTGGCTGTTTCATCGCTTACTTCGCTCTGATGCAACAACATCAACCGTGTACATTTCTTGCTGTTCTCGATCCAAATTGGAAGCAGTGTATATCTGCCCAGTGGTTGAATCGATCTTCAGCCATTTCCTTTTGTCACCTTCTAAGGAGTATCTGTGGAAAGAAATAAGAAATCACAGACACTGTTCCAAAGCAGGAAAAAATTACTGACAAAGCAAATAGTTCTTTATTGATTTTAGGCAAGGAGCTTGATTGCAATTGTACTCGAAGAGAGGGTTTTTGGAAGAGTCCCAGTACTACAGCCAACCAGGACAGAGGGAGGGAAAGGGAGGGAGGCCAAAAGCATTGAGAATAAGGAGAGCAGAATCATGGGAATGCCACCACACCTCCAGCCTGTGTACTGAAACTCCACCTGCCTTCTAACTAGGAAACCCGAAGTGTTCCTGATTTTTTGGTCCTGAAGTGCGGTCTGTGCCAACCCCATGTCCCTCTTTCCCCATCACATCTCCCATGCCCTGGTTTTGATGGGAGCACAAGCCAAACGCTGGGGTGCGTAGGGAGCAGCACAGCCAGGCACGTTTTTTTGCATCAGCAAGGGGCAAGGACCCCGGTATGGATTACAGTGGTCATCTGCTGCCAGTCTGGGGCAGCCTGTATTTACCATCAGGGCAGCCTTGGAACAGAGAGTGCTTTAAACACCATCACATAATTGCCTTTATATTATTGTTTTTAAAAAAATCCAAGGTCTCTGGGTATTTACTTATACAGATTTAACCATGAAAATATGACCCAGTTAACACACAGGCATTTGCTTGAGTAGATATGACCTGACCTCCTCATTCAGCGCTTTTGTTCTTTCGGTACCCCTTGCATTAAAAATAGCATGCTGACATGCTTGTACATCTCTTGCTTTTTATACTTTTTATTTTATGTCCTTTACCCTATTTTTTAGCAGTGATGTGGTTTATGTAAGTATGCATTCCTGTCATCTGTCTCTGTCATCATCCCCCAGAGCTTCTGGACTATGTGGCTCACTTTCAAACCAGTTTGACAGAAGGCCAAACATGCTAAGTTCCCAAAAGTTAGGGGAAAGTAGAAAGCCAGATGAGAAACCTCTGGGAATAAAAGCCCATGGGAGGCCTAACAGTCATATTTTGCAACTCCATTAACTACTTGGTGTTTTGCTGAATTTTAGTTAAATTTCAAGGATTGTTTGGTTTGGATTGATCTGTTCATTATCACAGCTGGGAATCGTGCAGCAAGAGACACAAACAATTCTATCCAACTCTACTGTGTGAGGTACATTTACACCACACAACACGACACTGTGCATAGACCTGGGAGGTGGCAGAGACTCAAGGTGACCAGGCCATACAACATGGTATTGGGCCACAGAGTTACGTATAGCTTGAGGTTTTGCATCCCACTCACAAGCATAGGAGCTGTTTTCCACAGAGCTTTGCATCAGCAGTGGAAGGAGGCATATCATCTTTGGCATTTGGAAAATAAAATTAATTAATTGTCAGTTACAGACTTGAGCTTCACTACAGGTGGAGAAAAAAAATGGTTTTCGGCTTTCTTCCCTTTTAGTTTCCTGTTTCAAGGGCCTCACTGGCTGATGCTTGTCACAGCACAGAGACAAAGCTGGTTAGAAAAGCACTGCCCAGCAGTCTGCTGCTGGTCAGTCACTGACCACCACCCCTCCATCTTCTACTAGGAGATGAGACTTTTGTAAAAATGCCTTTTCCTGCATAATAAATATTGGGCATGTTTTCCTTGTACATCTTTTAGCACAATTTTCTAAAACCTAAATTCAATAAATAAGTCATGGTGACTCTTTTTTACCGTACAGAATCCCCTTCAGGATCATAGGCCTCCACCGACAAGACCAGGGAGTTGACAGGAATGTCTTCAGCCACTTCACTGTTGTAAACTGTCTTGTTGAAAACAGGTGGCTCATCCACATTTGTTACGAAAACTTTAAACAAGGTAAGGGAGCTTGAGTTGTAATTCACGCCTGATACCAACGGTTCGGGGTTTGTGGCGCTGATCACCAGGTTGTACATCGGAGCTGCTTCAAAATCAAGAGGCTGGATAAATTAGGAAAAAAAAAAAAAGTGCTTTAAGCAACAGCCCCACAATTGTGGGGAGCTCCCAAGGGAAATGGCAAAGTCCTTCTCAAAGAGGAGGCGGCATCCCAGACACAGATAAAATAAGGGACAGCTGTCAGGAGCAAAATGACACTGGGAACAGTCAACTTAAATGAAACCATATGCCCATTTGGAGGCCTTCTCAGCAATTACATTTCCTAATAATGTGGCCACCTGCCTGAATAAGTTTAATAACTGTATCCTGTTTACAGCTGTACTATTTATAGCTCTGTATGAGAAGGCCTTGGGTGACCTTTGGGTGACAAAGTCATGCAAGGGTTGTTACACCAAGGAGTTTCTCACAACTGCCTCCTTGGGAAAAAATGTCGCTGAGGTTGAGCCTGAAGATGGTCCACCATATACTGCACCATCCTGCCCTTGGCCCAGCCTGCAGCAGGTGAACCTGGATGCAAACAACATGTCACCCCTTGGAAAATGAGTGATTTCCGAACCCATAGTTCACGCACCTTTGAGAACGATAATTTCAAAGGGAGAGCTCTTCTGCTATTGAAATTCATGGATGCAGCGGAAAGCGTTCCTTATTATCCTGACACTGAGACATGCTGGTCTTACTTGAATCTCTCATTGCAAAAGCCACCAATGGCCCAGAGCACCAGCAGGGAGTAGGATCTGCCCTGTGACAACCCACCACCATAACAACAGCCCAAGGAAGCATTTAGCTGGCTTTCTCTTTTCCAGAGATGTTGCTGCAAAATCACTCAAATAATGCTGCTTTTTTCCCTTTATGTTGCATAAAGACCTACTCCATGGGCCAGAGTCTGCTCTGCTGGAGAAGGGGTCAGCAGCAGAGCCAGCTGAGGGAGCTGCTGGTGACAGTGGGTGGACAGGGGATAGCAAAGGCAGGAAGATAGGTGTGCCTTGGCACACAATCAGGCGCAATGCCTGAGCCCAAGAGTGGGGCCTCCTGCAATCTACATCATGCTTAGAGTGTCCTCACCCCACCACCAGCCAACCCCCACCCCACAAATCATCACCAGGGCAGTTACTGTTTGTTGCATATATATATATGTATATAGAGAAGAATTAGCTCATCTATTCACCTTGTGAATCTTGACAAACCCTCGGTTCGTTTCAGGATCTGTATCTATGATGAACGTGTTGTGTGGGTCTCCTTCCTTCACTTGGTAATGGATGTAGGAGCTCCCTGTGTCAGGCTCGTCTCCATCAGTAGCTTGAATTTCTAATATCACTGTTCCTACTGGGAGACTTTCTGCAACAGTCACATTGTGATACTGAGGAGAGAGAGATGGGTGAAACATGACATGCCAAGCACCATCTGCAGATAAAAAGTTGAGTGCTACAACAAGCTTGAGACCCACAAGCATGGATGTATTTTAACCCACAGCAACCATGGGAGGGAAGGAAGTGGTGGGTGCACTTCCCAGCAGACACATAACCAGGTTAGAGATGTACAAAAACTTCAGTGAAGCGCATTGCAGCAGTACAGGTGAACTACCTCGCTGCCCAGGGGAAAAACAGAGCTGCAAGATGAGCACTACAGCCTCTGCAAAATTGTTATATCCCCTTTTTTAGCCTACATTTATCAATGGTGATGGGATCTCTGTCAGTAGGTAAGCAACTGGTATAGCAACAGTCCCAAACCTTGAACTCCTCTGTTAAAAGCACCCCACATTCATGCAATACAGCAGTAGTACAGCACCCTGTCAGCACTGCTGACTGTCAAATATTTATTTGCTCCATGCACCACAGGCCATTGCCACATGAGCAGCCCAGCTCCATGTGCCCCGTTTGATGTGTGCCCTGATGCAGCAGTCTCATCTTGAGACCAGGTTCTGGACTGAGACCTTGAGGTGAGAAGTCAACCGTGTGCTGTGTAGGCACCTGGGCTGCACGTGCCTCAGCTCCTGTTGTCATCAACAGAGAGCTGGGCAATGCAGCAAAGCCCAAAACCCAGCACGGCTTCCCCAAGAGGCCACCTACACCTGATGGGTCAGACAGCTCTCCTGAGCCCACTGCCTACGAGTATGGAGGGAGCTTGGACACCTAAATGTAGGCACTCCAGCCACTGCAGCATCTGCCAGGAGGCTTGGACCAGCTGGCAGGAGTCACGCAGGGTCTGCAGGTCTCTGCCACATGCCAGCACCTCCAGAAGAGGATGGGGCAAGAGCCTGACACTTCTTCCCAAACCAAGGGCCAGTGGGATTGGGATGGGCCAGTGTTTGGGCAGGGATTTCTGGTTAAAGCAAACAGACACTTTGATTTCCATTCACCTTCTGGCTTTTCCAGATACATTAATATTGTGTTTGGAAGGGAAAATGGGAGACGTTAGCTTTTTTCTATTTACCTATTTTAATTTAAAAGCCTTTTCTTCCCCCTTTCCCTCCAGAACTTACATTTCTGGAGTAAACTGCTTTAATAACATACTTTTTTCTCTATGCATAGTTTTCCACTGAGCAAATTACCTTATAGTTCAGAATCAACTATTAGTCAGTCTCACTGTTTGCTGTCTAGATAGAGCTTATATGCAGGCTTCGCAGCATATTTGACCTTATTTTCACTAGTGGATTGCTCTGTCAGTGGTTCTGTAACACTTGTTACACGGTAACTTGTTCTTGACATTCTATAGATATTGAATGCATGCTCAAACATTCCTCAAAAGTTATTGGGACATCAAAAATGGTGTTAAAAATACTCACATCTGGTTTTTCAAAGATGGGAATCTGATCATTGATGTCGATGACATGTATTTGCACGTCACAGATTGTTTGGAATACTGTATGGAAAGAGGACAAACGTCACAGCAACCCTTCTGCCGAAAATAACTTTCCTCCAAAAGGGTTCACTGTGAGCAAAAGTGAGTACTGCCAAATTGCCCGATCCAAGAAAAGTGCTGTTGCTGTAAGAAGCTCTTGATCTCCAATATCTCTTAGTCAGTGACAACCTCACTCTCTGTCTTACTATTCACTTTCCTAATTTCTTCAGCATTGTCCATCCTGTTTCATTTCCCTCACTTTTTTTAACCACATCTCTTTATCAGGATAATGATAGCTGTGAATTGTGTTAGCTTTCTCAATACCACTTTTGCATGTCAAAACGTTAGCCCCAGGTAGTTATGTTTCGTTACAGCCAGGCTTAAGCTTCAGATCTATGTAAATCTGTTACCTGAGCAGGGGCAGCCGTAGCAAAGGAGGGTTGTGTTTTTTACAACAAACAAATCATCAGTTTCTCCCTCTGCAAAGTTTTCATATCATCTGCCTGAGTGATGCTGTTTCATCTACACACCACACTGCCGTCTTCACACGACAGCTCTTCCATCCACAAGTTTTGCCTGACTATAAGTACTCCAGCACAAAGCTTTAGTATGGACTTTGTTTTCCTTTCTATTCAGTGAACCTCAAAGGACTCCTGGGAACCTAAATAATGGAAAAGATTCCTTTTGAATATTAATTTCAGCTCCTGATCTTTTCAAATACACTATCTGGACTGGACTCTCTGAGCAGCTGTGTTTAATTCCTTGATTTTTTTTTTTTTTTTTCCAGTGAACACCTTTGAAAGATTTTGGGAGAAAACCAATCATCATCTCTTCGTTTCTTTTTCCCCTGTGGAAGGAAATCTCTTACTGGACTACTTGTTAACAAGCTTCCCAATTTATCCACGCTCTGCCCTAGAGCTGGTTTCCTTCCATACTTGCATTATGAATCACAACCAACCTCCCTGCATCTCGAGAACAAGGCAGTACCATGCCACAGCAAGCCAGCTCTCAGTGCTGCTGCCTGTCCAGTAAACCCTCCAGGTGTCCTCTCACCCCTTAGACACTGAGCACAGGGGATGACAGTGTGAACAAAATTATCCCGACATATATTACTGCAGGCCTTACGTACCTGTATCTGTCACCTGCACTTTCAAGGTATAGTTGGATACCATCCGCTTGTTTAATGAATGGCTGGTTAACTGCAAAAGCCCAGTGTCTTTCTGAATAAGGAACAGATTATCTGCAGGAACAGCAGGAACCTGACTCTCGATTTCGAACTTCAGACGAGAGTTGAGGGTGTCCTCCTGATCCATGTCCGTAGCAAGCAGGGTGCCAATATAACTTCCTGTGGCAGAGACCAGAGTCAGTCAGGTAACACGGTGGTCCTGTTCTTCCACATAGGAGCGTGCTACCAACAGTGATACCAATGCAAAGAGTAGAGGGGCAATAAAAACACAGCTGCATGGAAAACATCACAATGGACACAATCATTTGGCTTCCGGGAGTGCTTTCTTTAGCATCCCAATGAACTGTTTTGGGCTTGGGGCAGTCCAAAAGGACTGGGCTATGTGTTTTCATCAGAATGAGCGACTGTAACAACAGTCACTTCAGCCTTGAAAACTACTAACTGATGTGAAGCCTTAGGGGCAGATTTCAGTAATGGTCCATTCAAGTCAAGGGCATTATCTTGGAGGAGCATCTGGAGGAGGGAAAACAGGGTCATGCCACTTTTAGAGCAGTATTTCTTGTGTTAGCAATAAAAGGAGTGGTTTTTATTTTCATGTTTTAAGCAGTTGCCCAAAACTGTGGTTGTGGGAAAATGCTATTTTATATTTTAAATGCAACAGCATTTTTAAAGTAGAGGTCTTGTCTCTGTCCTTCTCAGATTATTGAAAATCTTTCCATATGAATTATTGAAGAGAAAACAACAGGGCTATTTGCACAGGACAACATTTCACTAGGAGAGCTACATTTTACTTCTGGGGATCAGAATTTCTAGCTTTATTTGTACCTAGCTGGAAACAATAACAGAACAAGAATTATGTGTATAAATGAGTAGAAATTGTTTTCTTACCTCCACCTTCATTTTCTTGAACTTCAATTACAGTGAGGGCGTGATTGCACACAGGGGGATTGTCATTAATGTCTTCCACAATAACATGAATTTGCAGAGGTTTGTCCACCAGTTCTCCCTCGTGATCTTTTGTGACCACAAAGAAAGTATACTGCAATAAGAATATTGAGTTTAGTTACATTGACTCTCCACTGTGACAATATTTTGCATTTTAATTTGTAACTGTGGGAGCATTCCATACAAATGCAATATCATCTTATGTGTTTATTCGTTATTTTCACACTGTTTAATTCAGAACTCTTCCATGACTCCTTAGTGCCTGAGGTCCGAGTCCTCAGAAGAATTTGAAAGTCCTGAATACATCACTGCACTAT